ATAAAAAAATATCGTCTGTTAGAATATTATAATAAAAGGGAGTGGATAAACAATGGATTTTCAAGTCGAAGTATTAAGCCCTGAATAGCAAATATTTGGATAAAAGCAAAACAAATTAGCTACCTGAAATATTGTTAGTGTGGGATCAGTTAGACGCATTTTCTCGAAGAGCTGAGCATTCTCGAGAGAGAATAGTTCTGAAACTTCAAACTTCCAGTTGAGTTCAGCGAATTCAGTAGTTCTTTCATTAATATCAGAAGCTTGGTTCCTGGTTTGTTTCTGTCAGAATTAATAAATGCAATAAATAAAAAACTAAACTAAATTGGGAAAAAGAGTAAGATATGCAAGATAACTGCGTTGTTCACTTGGAGAGTTAAGACTGACTTAATAACCAAATAATAAATAAATGGCTTACTTCACTCAATTCTTCTTCCTCCATATCAGAGAAAAGATCCTCGTTGGAAGAAATTTCTTCGTAGTCAATATCCTAAAGTTAAAGCAACCAGATAAATAATAAAGCAAAGAAAATGATATTAGAACTTTGTTAATTTTTTAAAACTATTGCAAATCGTGAAATAAATTAGAATTGAGAGTAGATAAATGGTAGGTGCAAATAATGAGAGATAACCTGAATTTCTCCATCTTCATATAGACCCACAGGTTCATTATGAATGCAAGCAGATGCCTTTACAGGAGGTTCAAGTTGCTTGCTTTCTTGGGAACTAGGAGAAGAGAGTTCTGCTTGCTTGATCAGATTCAAGTTTTCGTGAAAATCATTAGGCTCCTGATATAAAAAGAAATCTATAATTACTTTAGCAGGGGTCTCAGAAGTAGGCCGTGAAATGGGGGTGGTTCTGGATGCTAGAAGAGGTATTGCTGGATTTCCACTCGTTATAGGCGAAGTTGTCGCAGGTATAGAAGCGTTAGAGGTGGTAACAGAAAATTGACTAGATGGAAGAGCTGATAGAGGGATTCCAAAAATAGCGACAGTGATAGTGGAATATGTACCCCTCAAAAGTAAAAAAGTAGAGACAACCGAATTTCTAACGCCAATTTTATTTATCCCTTGTTTTTCATCATAAAAAAACCTGACTATGATGAAATAAATCTGCATACTTTGTAACCATTTGAAGATGTATTGCATTACTTTGACTGTTAGTAAAAAATGCAATGTCAAATGCTTCAGGATTCGTGGCTCTAATATATTAGCAAAAACAAATATCTACCCAAGAATTGCTTCATCTGATAAGCGGCTTTCAACAACAGATCCAAATGGGATTATTCGTATTTCAGAAACTTGAACATGTCTATCAAAGACTATGC